CGATTTCGCGGATTCAACGATACCCTGATATCGAGGACTATACGCTATTTCACGGATAATACCCGATTTCGAGTATTCTCTCCAACCTGTTTAAAACAGGTACATATTTACCCCCAATACAAATTTCTTCCTCAGTACAGGAATGATTCGGACAATTGCCCGCCAAGTGCTGAAATTAAATCAACTCAAAAGTTGTGATTCCTGTAATATCTAATTCGTTCATTATTAAGATCTCTACCCATTTCTTATTAAGCATTGCACACATTTTCTTACCTTTGGAATACTTTCCCGATCGACATGAATGGTGTGGTTGTCGGTTATTACATGACTGGCATTCTTGATGGCAAATCTCGTGTTTAGTTGACATGTCTTTTTTTCTTTAAACCAATCTACTGAGCGACAAAAACTAAACATGTAACAAACCATCGTGCACATTGCAATGTCAGCATTGGTCAAAAAGCTAAATCCAGGTACTGAGGAATTTTCATAATTGCTAGTGATCAAAGTTTTTTGGGTCGATTGGGTCGAAGCACTGAGAATAGCATGTCTGTAACAGAGATAGGATTTGTCCAATGAGGTACACACATATAGCCAAAGGACGAGCAGCTGATTTCATTTCAAGATTTTTCTTAAATAATATAGCGATCAAATTTCGTTGTTTGTGGGCTTTCTTAAGACAATCAACTGTATTTGATCCCTACACTTCCATGAGATTTTATTCAATGGTTTAGATCTGTTTATTTATTATTGAAAAGGACTCACGTGATGGTTTCAGTGATTGTGTTGTTCAATAATGTTTTAATAATGTAATAATAATAATAATGTTTGAAAATGAGGGTGTCCTAAAGTCATGTATAACTCACTTTTTCCATTTAAAATACGTCGCTGTGATTAATGAAATATTTGAAATTCTTCCCGAGTATTTTTGATACAATCTATATACTAAATATTTGAAAATTTATCCAAATAGACTTAACAAATATATGTACCAGATTTCCAGGCAACGATCAATATACGTTATGAATTCAACATAGTTATGAAAAAAAAAGCTGTAAAAAAGAGGAAGGTTTGCTATCTGTAACACCTTTTTGCTGCCTACATTGACTTCAATGACAAAGTTCAATATATATAAACAATATTTTCCTCCTTAAAAATTGCATGATCCAATTTTGTTTGGTTGACGAATCTGAAGTATTCTTATGGCAAATGGCCATAAAATGATATACAATCAGTCCGTATTAGCGGCTAGGCAATAGGAAAAGATAAGAAAATTGGTGTCTTTTTCACATGTCTTTACCGCCTTTAACCATCACCAAAATTTGTAAGCAAGTTTCTTATTAACATATAAATTGAATACCAGCTAATGAAAATGCTTAACGCATCTAAATAAAAGCACTTTGCTTCATTCAAACAATAAGAAAACACTACTTATACATAGTAAAAGCTATCAGCATATGTAGATTATTACATATTATAAACTTTCAGTTAGAATCTATCTGTTGATATAACAAGAATAAATATAAGCCATGCAACTCCACTAAAACTAAAAAATGTAACTTTTTACTTCAAATTTTGAGAATAACTTGGATTTCCAGACGTAGAATAAAAACAAAGTTCTTCTAAAATACAGATATAATAATGAGCCTTACAAACAAAATATGATATTGTTACAAACCTTGTCTGCTGGAACCATAGCATATTGTAAATGTGGTCTTTCTAATTTTCTTATCGCCTCCAATTTAGTGAAAACAGAAGGATAGATGGTTCTCATGTTGCATTTTTACTTGCCAACTAAATATATTGCCAACTAAAACTTGGTCCCACCCTATCCAGAGGGCTTTGATTTGTACAAATTTGAAGTTTTGCTATCTGATGATGCATGTGTATAAATATGCCTTATCATTACTCCTGTTCGTAAAAAGAAGTTTTTAGATTTATTTTCCTTATATTTTCCCACATAGAACGTTGATCACTATTCTGTTTCTACCCTAACCAGGAGACCATTATTTGAATAAACTTGAATATAAACTATGTCATAAAGCTTCAGATAATTTTCACTTTTCAGCCAATGGATCATGAAAAGATTTTCAAATGACACCAGCAAATTTTCAGTACTTCTTAATTATTTCCCCATGAAAGCAAGCACAACCCTTCACATGGTGAGAACCTCGTAAGTTGTTAGAACTTGTGTTCAAACCATTTGTATATTTTTTACAATAAAATATGTTCAAACCAACCCTTCATTAGAACAAACTTGGATCTCCATTACCATCTAGAGGATACTCTGTGCCAAGTTTGGTTGAAATTGCACCAGGGGTCCTGGAGAGAAAGATAAAAATGTGAAAAGTTAATTAACAATAGCGATAACACCAAAGACAACCACGACAGACAACAGAAAGATTTGATCAGAAAAGCTCAATTGAGCCTTTGCCTCAGGTGCGCTAAATAGTTTATTTATGAATTTAGAAATGATTTTTATTAAAATTATTATAATCTTTTTTCATAGTATATCTTTGCATTTTGTAAAATAAAAAAGAACGTAATGCTTAGATTTTTGAACCAGGGTAAAATAAATATAATTCTCAAATACGACTTTTCTATTTGAAATTTTTTGCCTTGGATTTTTGGCTTAGGAAACAAGACGCCTGCCAGATATTTAAAGCCGAAAATCTAAATAAACTTCTTATTGATATTATCTAAAAAGAAATATGACGATGTCGAGTAGTAACCATGCCCAAAAGTCCAAATACACAAAACAAATTTAGAGCAGAGCAATCACAGACCCCTGAAAACTTCAGGGGTTGGGTGCAAGTAATGGAGAAGTAGACATCTCCAGTCTGCCGGCCACACTCGTTGTTAACCCTTTGTTTTGATAAATCCATAGACATTCAGTATGAAAGTACAGTAAAGGGAACTAATTTTCGTACAATATCGATGCTGACATTTTAAAATCCTTTCCTTGCTTATTTTCGTACTTGCTCTGTTTGCTGATTTAATGCTAGTTATCCCTATCATGATGCTACCTTTGCTGTGTTTCAAAACTTCTACCGGGAATAGCATCATGCTAGCAGAAGTAGATAATCTAATATTAGCATTACAGTTCTAAGCATTCAAAATGCTTTTTATTATTATCTTATTAAAATATTTGCTATATTATTGATATTTTCATTGCTTAAATCATTTTTTCTTTGCCTGTTTTTATTTCATTGCTAGACAAAAACCTACCAATTCTTTGATGGTAGTAAGCCATTGCTGATGTTCAGTAAGTCAATACTAGTTACATTTTAGGAATTTAGTTTCCCTTTAATCAAGAAACACATTATTTGATTCACCTTGATTTGTACATATCTGATATAACTAAAGTTGAATATCATATACTGATAAAGTTTGATGAAGAAAATAGCACTGTTGCTATGGTAACTTACCGAGAAGGGAAAACGTACAATTTTGTTAACTTTATAGCAATATTAAAGCAGTATATGGTAGCTTCTTGCATCAAAAATTGAACGTCAGGTTAGTTGTTCATAAATAGCAATCATAAAAGTTTTGGGAATCTACATCAAGGGTACATTTACAAGGAAAAAAAATCAGCTTTTTATGCATTTTTACTATAATTTCAACTTAGAGAGTTTGGAGAAATTCTGAGACTATGCGTGCCACAGCTCCTATATTAAAATTTTCATTATAGAGAATGGCTTTTAACATGTAGCATGAAGAAAGTAGGACTTTGAAAAAAGAAAAATGATGCTTTTTCCATGTGCTTGTATAACATTTGTCACTTGAGGAATATTATATCTGTCGCCATTTCATCTATAAAAGATTGTAATTTGTCTGAAAACAAATTCTATTTGAAATCTTGACATGCTACAACTGATAGTTATTTATCAAAGAGCACAAAAAATAGAAAGCAACAATTAAATCAATAAAATTAAATATCCTCAATACAAAGACGAGATGCCTTTGTGCATATTTGCAATTATGGTGTTTTAATTTTCAAATTAAAAAAAAAATGTCTAGCTTAAATTTTCCACATTTGTCGAGAACGTTTGTCCATATCATATACACTGGCAGGTTATCCTGAATATCTTTCTGTACAAACCAATGTCCTATATGTTGCTGAATGCTAAGATAAAGAATACAGTCTTTGTATTGTTTTGTGTATGTACGTGTGTGTTTATATGTTGTTTCAATAGTATGCTGGATAATAATCCTAAATGTTCAAAAATATTCCAAATATCACAATACATTGGATACACACGCGAAACAGTTCTGTTGATTATTTAATGCCAAGAACCGGTTACATCTTCGTATTTTTTACTCTTGTAGATAAAGTTTATTTGAAATTGTATTCGTGTGGTTTTTGGAGATAGTCAGCTTGGCCATGATATAGATATATTATCATATGATGTAATGTCAATATAACTCTAATACTGTTGCATAAAGACCTTAACATGTGTATGATATAAATAGTTGAATTGTTTCAGTGCAGAAGAGAACTAGGAGGATGCATGATGATCCAAGAACAGAAATATACTTTAGGTTCATGTTCAACTGTTATTATTATGTCCATTTTACCGATATTTATAAAAAAAATTATATTTAGCAAAATGTAAAACATATATAACTACTTATAAGAAATTAGAAAAATGTATGAATCCGAAAAAAGAGCAAGGCTCTTTTATACACATGTCTCTGCAACTGACACTTTATACAAAATAACAACACGCTACAGAGCTTGTTAAACGGACGTTCTTTTAATGTAAACAATGTATGTGATGTTTCTTCATCTCCCTTACATACACAAAGCCGTGGAAATTCTAAGTTGTTATTTAACAATAATTAATCATTAGTGATGCATTAATAGTAAATACAAATAAAAAAAATAAGCAATACTTCTAGCATTGATTTTATTCTACTTAATGATGAGTTAGTCTAGACATTGGAATCAGAAAGAACTAGTTGGACGTAAAAATATTATGTAATAAAAGCACGCTGTTGATACACGTACAAATTTGTGTTGGTAATATAAAGATAATATAACAATAAAGTTATAACTGATCACAACTTGATTCAGATTCTGTATCTTATCATCATCACAGTCTGTTTTAATGCTTCATGTTTTTTCCAGCGATACCATATCGGGTATTTATCACCAATCAGAGCAGACTGTGCGTACTGTCCGTTAAGGTTTGAGTAGTGACAGGACTTGTACCACCAGGCTCCAAGCCATGATGTAGCACAGTTACCACCATCCCTGTCATTATCCTGATCCTTCGTGCTAAATTTACTACCATTGTGATAAATCAAACTGTCACCTAGAACAAAATATATTATGCGTTACATATAAATTTGTAATTTCTGCATTATTCTTGTAGAATTTCATTTGAAATCCAGACGGACCTTTTTCAAAGATATGATAAAGATGCTAAGCTTGATAATCCTAAATCATGATCTTTTGTAATCATATACCCCCCCCCCCCTAATCTTTTTAAATATATTCGAGTACAGGCATTTCTTCCGTTTATATTATTCTATTTTTATTTAACGATAATTCAAACAACTTAAACTATCAACTACAATAGGAAATCATTGGAATTAGCATCGAAATTTAAAGCTGATAAAAGTATAAAAAATTTAAACATTAATTTTTTGTATAATGTCTTTGATATTCATTCTTGTATGCCGTAATGCTTTTCACCATCAGTAGATTCAAAGACTCATTTAAAGTTAATGAACAATTTTTTCAAAAATTGTTCTCAAAGGAACATGTATAATTAGCATGATATGAATAAGCGTTAACACTAAATACTAAAAGCAATAATACATGCATGATTGTGTCAAATAGTATATAGTCTGCATTATTATATCACAAGATATAAGTAACTACCTCTAGCTAAAGGTAAAACGCTAAAATGACTATTCACTCAGTAGCATAAAACAATTATTTTTAGCCTGTATTTGAGATTAACAGGGGCCAAAACTGTTTTATGTATAAAATGTATGTACCTGCATGAAATTTCAGTTTTTTTCAAAATTACCTGCGCAACTATTCACATTGAATTAAGGCGTACAAATACCAAGTATAATGTATCATCAAAGTTAACATTTATTAAAAAAACAACAAAAAATAAATAATATATGCAGGAAATATAATGATTCTTAATGATGAGGACATCACCACTCCCCTCAGCAGATGATCAAAAATAATGTTTGACCGTTAGTGAGAGGGAAAATAGGCGGAGCCATCAAGAGAACATATCCACATTTTATTGTTTAATGATAAATCAGTTTTAAAGTCAAATTGTGTCAGAAAATTATAACGAAGACCTCAGTCCCTTTAAAAAGAATTCCTTCTCTTACCTAAAATACCTTAAATTAAATTTAAGGTTATTTGGTTTAATAAAACTGGTAAACGTATACTTAGATATTTCATCATGATTTGTCTAGCCGGTGCACTGAAAATCAAATAGATAACGGGGAAAGAGAGAGCGTGCAGTGGACCGATAGAGGATTCAAGCTACCCTACTAAAAACTCTAAAACGTTCACTCTTCTGTCCAACAATTAATTATCATCTGTTTCTCCCAGAGCATGGTCATGACATGAAATACAAATAAGGACATTTGTCAGGGACTACATCAGAGGACGAACTTGTGACCCAAACCACAGACAGATCTACCTCCTGGGTTATCAGGACACTTGGAAACTGATCATCTGACCTACGCTAAGGCTGTGTCCTGAGGGCTATCAGCATTGCAAAATTTCTGCTAAAAATATTGCATTGCATGTATGTGTGATATATCTATTTTCACAGTAATTGATTTCCCTTTATTATTTTCCTGATTTTAATGAAATAATGTAGATTTAACCATTTAAGCATTTTTAAGAACAAATCTGATTCAAATAGTCTTTAGTGCTTTCTAAACTAACATAAAAGCAAGGTAAAAATCTTTTCTTTTTTGTATCTGGGAAAAACAAATTAAACTCAATTGAAGAAATCAAATTTTTGTCAATGGTTTAATTGATTAAATGAAGAAACTATATATTTTTAAGGACGACGGACCTAATTCGAAATTCCACGCCACTGCGCAGAAAACTGCGCATATGCTTTGAATCAAATTGACTTATTATGTATTGCAAAAGATAAAAAAAAAATATTCAAACATTTCCTCTCAATTAAAAAATATCGTAAAATTTCAATTTTTATTCATTTGTTGATTTTATAAAGAAATGATTTATTTGGCCAAGGTATTTTCATTGAAAATTCCCCTCAAAATGTGCCCTACACCTGAGTTTGTCATGCTCGTCTGAAAAATCTAAGCCGATGACTCATTTATTTTTTGGCATATTTTGCTGGTAAATTATATTGTTAACATTGTCCTTTAATATGAATAAAAATTCTATTGCAGAATTTTTTTCAATGATCACTTTTTTACCCTACTCTGGCAATTTTCCATTACTTCCTATAGTAATTATCGATTTGCATTGCCAACTTTTGAAACGCTCCCCATTAAAAATCTACATCGATGACCATTTGATTTTTTTTATTGATTTGAACTAACCAAAAGTCACTTATCCTCATATTAAAAATTGAGTCAAAAATCTATTGCAGAAATGAATTAGATCCGTCGTCGTTAAAATTCATTTATTTAACAATATTTCTCAACACACTCGGAAAGCATTCTTTTTTTTATTATTATATTAATAAAAGTTTCTGTACAAACTAATGCTATCACAGGAGGATGGAAATACCTTAAGGCATTCCTCCTTAAATGGAATTTTAAAAATACAATGCACCAAGTCTTGCCCAAAATTGGAAATTAATGTATAACGTCAGCTCTGTAGAAACAATTCTTAATATTTACATTTGCTGTGTTTTTCTACTAAGCCAACTGTGAAATTGATTTGAAAGTCTTTTTTGTGTATACTCACGCGTAGAAATATACACGGTGAAACTCGTGCTAAAGTGACGTCACAATGAGGCTACAGAGATGTAAATAAAAATGTAACGATAAAGGACAGCAAGAAATTTAAATATTGAGTATATTACTGGTGCTTTTAAATTTGTAAAATGTAAATATAAGGAATGTTTTTAAGTTTAGTATAAATTATTGGTGTGTAAATCACACAGACTTGCACGTAGGCATATTTTTCATGAAGCGCTAGCGCGCTTCATGAAATATCCTACGTGACAAGTCTGTGTGATTTACACACCAATAACTCACACAAAACTTAAAAACATTCCTTAATTAATTGCTGCTTAAAAAGCATGCATACTGGCATTTGTATACTTACTGAATGTTTTAAAGTATGTATAGTCAACCAGCTTAGTTCAGTAAAAAACGTGTAAAATTGGCTCAAATATTCAGAAAATACATGAATTTACTAGGTATTCAGTAGTTACAGGTAATTCCTAAAACGGCCAGTAAATACACGTATTTAGAGAATGGTTTAGGAAATACATGAATTCACATATTAACTGTACTGTATTTATTGCATGATAGTGAGGGAAACATGAAGATTTCTTCGGCCATGAAACATTATATTCCCCGACGGCATCGTACGAGACTCAATGACTTATTATACGAAAGTATTACAACAAATGATGATATCTCTTAATTACTATCTCTCAAAGAAACCGGGAACTGCTTTACTCAATACCGTACACGTCACGTGTAGCACCGTACTGTCAAAGGTAAGCCTTAGTCTCTTTGAAAGGCGAATGTGTTTCAACAAGGTTCTGAATTATTTTAATCCAATGAAATATCCTCTGAAGTAATGCACTTTGTTTCATAATGATATTTCTTAATTACAATTATCTACAACTTTTATAGATACTGTTTGTCATTAATATCTATAGATCAAAAATGATACCGCATTGCCAAAGGAAAATTTCAGATCCTTTGTTAGACAAGGTGTTACATCTTAAGATCACAAACGTAACTTTCATTTCCTTTGTAAACAGAAAATGATACAAATGGTCTTTAATTCAAAGTTATTTCAATAACCAGAAGTCTCTGATGAGACTGTAGCTCTACTGGTCTGTACGTATAACAAAGGAAAAGTAGCACTTGGATTTGAAACTTTGCAACATGCAGCAATGATAGAATTATGTATCCTATTGTCGTCTACTTGTGTGCCAAGTTATATTGAAATCAAACGAAAACTGTAGGAGGAGTAGCGTTTTGAAAGTATTTCACAACAATTTCTATTTTTAGTTACCATTGCAACAACATTTACTGAAATCAAAATCGATACAACACACGCTTATGTAACGCAGCGTAGTCTAATTGTGTGCCAAATTAGATTGAAATCAAACCAAAACTTTAGAAGAAGTAAAGTCTTAAAAGAATTTAACAGAAATGTCTATTTTTAGTAACCATGGCAAAACCAAAAAAATCGAAATCAAAAACCAATTCATCAAATCATGTATCTTAGTGTATTCTATTTGTGTGCCAAGTTATGCTAAAATCAGACTAAATCTGTAGGAGGAATTGCGTTTTCAAGGAATTTCACAGAAATTTCTATTTCTAGTTACCATGATGGCAACACTATTCATTGAAATCAAATACCGATGTATTAAGTAGTGTATCGTAGCGTTTTCTATTTGTATGCCAGATAACATGTATATTGAAAACAGACCAAAACTGTAGTAGGAGTAGTTTTTTTAAAAGAAATTTCACAGAAATTTCTATTTTTAGTAACTATGGCAACGCCGTCCATCCAAATCAAAAACTGATGCACTTAATTATGTATCTTAGTGTAGTCTACTTGTATGTCAAATTATGTTGAAATCAGATCAAAACTGTAGCAGGAGTAGTTTTTTAAAAGAATTTCATAGAAATTCCTATTTTTAATAACCATGGCAACACCGTTCATCGAAATAAAAAACTGATGCACTGAATTATGTTTCGTACTGTAATCTACTTGTATGCCAAGTTATATTGGAATCAGACCAAAACTGTAGAAGGAGTAGCGTTTTAAAGGAATTTTACAGAGATTTCTATTTTTAGTAACCATGGCGACACCGTCCATCCAAATCAAAAACTGATGCACTTAATTATGTATCTTAATGTAGTCTACTTGTATGACAAGTTATGTTGAAATCAGACGAAAACTGTAGAAGGAGTAGCGTTTTGAAGGAATTTCACAAAAAATTATTTTTTAGTAACCATGGCAACACAGTTAAAAAAACCCGATGCAATAAATTATGTATCTTAGTGTAGTCAACTTATGTGCCAAGCTATATTGAAATCAGACGAAATTAAAACTGTAGGAGGAGTAGCGTTTTGAAAAAATGTTTGCAGACAGACAGACAGAAAGACGTGCAGCTAGACAGACAGACAGACAGACAGACGGCGGACACCTTACTATCGCATAAGCTCTTTTGATCTCTGGCCAGTAGAGCTAAAATATTTACCTGCAGTTCCTGTGTACCTGGATAGTGTGAGTTGGTATTTATCAGGCTCGTTTCCGATATAAAACGTGGAATATTCAGCATACGCTGTGTCCCCATTAAATCTCTGGAGATCTACTCGCAGTTCCTGGTCCTGATCTTTGGTTAGAGCATGGATTGCATCATTCCCTTAATGACAATTGTAAAGAAAACCATTGAAATTGATGCTTATGATTATTGATTAGAATTGATTGATTAGAATGTGCTTTTATCCCGTACTATGGCTTAGTTTATATAAAAAAAAAAATCACACAAATTGACATCAATGGAATGAGTTTTACAAAATAGTTAGATTGAGAGGTTCTTATTGTTGGAGAGGTAACAATAAAATCGTTTTCTTACCAATCCAGTAGTTGTTCTTTGGATCCCCAAAACCTTGTTTATATTCTTCCCAAGTCCTATAAAATTCAGTCGAACCGTCTTTTCTTTTTTGTATAGCCTATAAAAATAGAAGAAATCGTTTCACTTGTGCCAATTACTGAAAGATAACTGGCATTTTTTTAAGATTGGAAAATTGATCATTTATTTCCATTCATGTGTACCATCTATCCAAACATATGTACCTACCCACGTACCTTCCCACCTAACCATATATACTTTTCATCTTGTATGCATATACACATACATGCATACACAAAAACTTACAGATAACATACATGCATACATACAAACTTAATTCTAAGCATGCATGCATACACACAAACCTACATATAAACATACAGACAAATTTACATATAAACATTCAAGTATACACATGTATTTACATATAAACATATTAGAGCGTTTGCTCTAGAGTCGCGGAGTAAAGAGTTGACCCTTACGTCGCGGGTTCGAATCCAGTGTGAGACGTGGAGGCCGGTCCTTCGGAGGAGACCGTATAATCCGAGGTCCAGTGTCGCAGTAGGTGCTGGCACGAAAAAGATCCCTCACTGCTCAATGGCCCTAAGTCCCGAGTATAGGTCAAAATTTGTAGCTCTCCATCGGCAAGTGGTGTCGTCTCCATATGAGTGAAAAATTCTCTAGAGGGACGTTAAACAATAAACAAACAAAACATATAAACATACAGGTCATGCATACACACATACTTACATATAAACATACAGTATACACACATACTTACATATAACCCCCCCCCCCCCCACACACACACACACACACACACACATACTTATCTGTATTGCATAACCTATTTGTACTCACCGTCCATCCGCCTCCATCTGTAGTCATGTCACAAAAGACGGAGGTGATGTCAGAATTGATAACTACATATAACTAACTATAAATAAAGACACCATCTTTTCGTTTCAGCCACTTGTTTTGTTCAAGAATATTGTAGCAATCCTTTGGGAACACTTTTGATTGAACTGAAAAATGAAGTCAAACTTGAATGATACAGTCACAGTAAAACAACACAGTTTGCACGTAAATATATGCTTCACATGTGAATTAAAGGAATGGTCATTTGTTTTATACGAAAATTCAGAAATAAACAAGACAGACATTGTGGTATTAGGCAGTGCATGAACATGACAGTAAAGGATAACAAGAGGCCCAGGGGCCACATCGCTCACCTGAGCACTGTGGCCAGGAAAAAAGGAAAAATCAGTTTAGTATTGAAAAGCTTAAATGCATAAATGGTCCCAACCTACCACTAAAAGGGAGTGGGGGGTGGGGGGTGTATGACTTGAACAAAATTAAATCTACACTGCTTACATAATTTTTTGACTAACTGTGACTTTTTTCTCTACGAGTTTGAACTTTCATTGTGGCCCCACCCTACCCCTGGAGGTCATGATTTGAACAAATTTGAATGCTTGCATATAAATATTACAAACCGTGGCTTTGCTGAGATTTTTAAAGGTTTTTCTTATATAATCCTATATAAAACTTTGAACGTTCATTGTGGCCCCACCCTACCCCTGGGGGTCATGATTTGAACAAACTTGAATCCACACTACCTGAGGATGTTTTTAAAAAATATATCCAATCACAGCTTTGCTGTTCTTGAGAAGAAGATTTTTGAAGATTTTTCCTATGTACACCTATGTTAAACTTTGATCGTCCATTGTGGCCCCACCCTTACCCTGCGGGTCATGATTTGAACAAACTTGAATCTACACCACCTGAGGATGCTTCCAATATAAATATGACCAATCATAGCTTTGCTGTTCTTGAGAAGAAGATTTTTCCTATATATTCCTATGTAAAACTTTGATCGTCCATTGTGGCCCCACCCTACCCCTGGGGGTCATGACTTGAATAAACTTGAATCTATACCACCTCAGGATGCTTCCAAATAAATATGACAAATCATAGCTTTGCTGTTCTTGAGAAGAGGATTTTTGAAGATTTTTCCTATATACTCCATGAAAACTTTGATTGTCCATTGTGGCCCCACCTTACCCCCAGGGGTCATAATTAGAACAAATTTGAATCTACACCACCTGCAGATGCTTCCATATAAATTTGACCAATCATGGCTTTGCTGTCTTGAGAAGAAGATTTTTGAAGATTTTTCCTATATTCTCCTATGTTAAACTTTAATTGTCGTCCATTGTGACCCCACCCTACCCCCCGATGGTCATGATTTGAACAAACTTGAACCCACACCACCTGAGGATGCTTCCAAATAAATATTATCAATCATTGCTTTGCTATTCTTGAGAAGAAGATTTTTGAACATTTTTCTTATATATTCCTATGTAAAACTTAATTGTCCATTGAGGCCCCACCCTCCCCCCGGGGGTCATGATTTGAACAAATTTGAATCTACACCACCCGAGGATGCTTCCATATAAATATGACCAATCATAGCTTTGCTGTTCTTGAGAAGAAGATTTTTGAAGATTTTTCCTATATATTCCTATGTAAAACTTTGATCGTCCATTGAGGCCCCACCCAACCCCCGGGGGTCATGATTTGAACAAACTTGAATCTACACCACATGAGGATGCTTCCATATAAATATGACCAATCACAGCTTTGTGGTTCTTGAGAAGAAGATTTTTGAAGATTTTTTCCTATATAATCCTATGTTAAACTTTGATTGTCCATTGAGGCCCCACTCTACCCCCGGGGGTCATGATTTGAACAAATTTGAATCTACACCACATGAGGATGCTTTCATTAAAATATGACCAATCACAGCTTTGCTGTTCTTGAAAAGAAGATTTTTGAAGATTTTTCCTATATATTCCTATGTAAAACTTTGATCGTCCATTGTGGCCCCACCCTACCCCCGGGGTCATGATTTGAACAAATTTGAATCTACACTACCTGACAATAATTCCATATGAGTTTCATCTTTCCTGGCCCATTGGTTCTTGAGAAGAAGATTTTTCAATAATGCCATTAATTTTTTGCTATTTCGTAATCATCTCCCCTTTGAAGAGGGAGTGGCCCTTCATTTGAACAAACTTGAATCCCCTTTACCCAAGGATACTTTGTGCCAAGTTTGATTGAAATTGCCCCAGTAGTTCTTGAGAAGAAGATGAAAATGTGAAAAGCCGACGACAGACAACGGACAAATTTTGATCAGAAGGATGAATATAAACATTTATCAACGAAAGTCCCGTACAATTGATACTTTTTGTCGAATTGTTGAAAACGTCATCTAGTGTCACATGATACAGTTTTATTTTTAAATTCTATTCAAAACCGAATACTTTTCTTTGAGAGGTGTCCTACTCATGCTCGTGCATTGTTTTGATCCTGTGAACAGATATGTTGTCGCCAAACAGAAAACAGCGCTTATATTTCCTATTCCTATCCTCATCTGATCTGAGGTTCAAAAAAGTGTTAATATAAGAACAGTCATGAGTGGCTGAAAAACAAAAAAAAAATTATAAATTTATAAATACCTATTGCGTGTACAGCGGTTCTGTTATATCTGATAAAACTTGTGATGATTATTCAAATAGAAAAAAAAATTGTGATTCAAATTCTTATTTTTAATTTTGTGATTTATATTCAATAAATTATATTCATACATTCGTTAGCTTGTAATTTATTTACGAAATCTTTTGATTTTTAAAAAAGTTGATATTCATATTTTAAGACTCCTTATTTATATCCGAAATCATGATTTTTATTTGGTAAATTTGTGAATTATATATGTGCTTGATAATTTTGTGATTTAAATGAAAAATTGTGTTATCAATATGCAAAATGACTTCACAAGTATGGATATAAACTTTTTGCATATGAATCTCGAGACTATCAAACTTTATCTCAGATTTTTGCATATAAAAACGTCTTCGAATATATATGTATATACATCAACATTTGACATACAAATAACAAAATTATCGAATGTGAAATCAATTTTTTTATATGAATACCAGGTTTTTCAAAGATACATGTATATGTACATATCAAGATTTCCAATATCATGATTTCGCAAATCTTATAAAATAAATCAAAAGATTGGAATATGACTCACGGGGTTATGAATGTGAATAATGAGTTTTCGAACATGAATAACTAAATATCGAATATGAAAAACACGTTTTATCAAGCATAACAAAAGATTTGTATAACATTTCAACGTTTTATTTTACATACCATAATTGCTAAGCGAGGAAATACTTTTATTAATAAGAACTACAGTATTTAGTAAGTGAAGTTATAGACAGACAATAAAACATGTTCAGTAAATTATAAACTAGATCTATAGTTCACAAGGAAAATATATATTCTCAAGACAAAAATATGAGTAACAGATCTAAGCTCCGTAAAATATAAAATATAAATGATGTAGAATTGTTATCAAATACACGTTCCAAACTTGTGAATTCGTTGTGCCATAAAGACTGACACTATTTTGCTAACAATCTCACGAGGAAGTAAATCAAAATTAGTACATTACAACACTATAAGAGGAATATTAACTACACTATTAAAGGAATGGTTAATAAACATATAACTTACCATCGGATAGAGAAGAGGAGACGTTCAAAACCTGCAGATTTAGAACTTTATGATCCTCAAATAAACCATCCAGTGTCTCATTGATAGATTTAGAATAATTCTTAAAGGTATTTTCCATCTTTTGAAATCGACCCTCGTACATGGAACCTTTGAGTTCTCTCAGAGCGTTCTTGACGACATTTAGTTGTTCTCTATATAAATCATTATATGTTGATAATTCTCTAGTTTTATTTCTGACATCCAGTTCTCTATTTTTCATTTGCTTCATTTGTTCCTGCAAGACAAGTTCAACAGTGTAATGGTCTTGTTTTGCATCTCTAACTGATGTTTCATTTCTCTGTTTTCCGCCAATAATTCTCGACTTTCTTTCTGGAGGACTGAAGTTTGTTTTTTTTTATCAAAGCTAATTCCTTCTCTTTCATATCTTGAACTTTGTCCATTGTCTTATCTTGATTATTTCTTACTGTCTCATTTAATACTTGTAACACTTGTTTAAGTATTGTAACCTCTGTTTCTATTCCGTTGTCTCTTGTCTCCAAATCTTTTAATTCCGTTGTCAAGATTTTCAGTTTCTGCTTCGTCATTTGAGAATTGTTTTTGCTGTCTATGACATCCATGACTAGGTTTTGAATTCTCTGAACCATAGAAAACCTCACTAGACTCTCCTGATTAAGGATGTCCCGTAAAACATTGGATACTTTTCCTCCGGACGTCGTACTTCCGTCCAAAATAGATTTTTCCAGATTGTTACTGTCAGCAGAGACTAGTCCGACATTCAGGAAAAGTACAAGAAATACTAGACTTTGTAGAATATGCATTTTTGTAACATTGGATTTCATCCGATTGCAAGTCAAGACTGAGATATTCCTGCAAGGAATTGGTGTTTATATAAAAGTACAGAAAATACCGGCTAATTTATCCTACTTCTTGTGCCAATACATTGAAGAAATCAGATATACATGATACAACATCTATGCAATATCTTCATTCCAGGGCATATTAACGATAAACTGTAGGTAAGGAGTCATTAACCTATATTTTTTGCACCTGAAAACAAAAGAAATGGGTTTTACCTTCTTCTAGGAATGATTCTGGGCGAAACTTGTATGTAAGGTAGTTGTCTGACATCAACAGATAAAATCTGGTATCTGGCAAGATTTATGTAAGCGTCCGCTTTAAGTACCGTTGTCTTCCTGGTAAAACATTAGTTTCAATCATTTTTCTATTTTTGCATCTTTCCATCACAGCATTTATTGATATTCTTAGAATTTATTATTTTTTTTATTTGTAAAAATTTACTTCTCCCCATAGACCTCAATGCAATCTTCATTGATTAATTTCTGCTTTGGAAATTACATTTTTGAAAATTTCTATTGGTAATTCCTTTTCTATTTTAAATGCTTTGAATAAATATGAGAGCATTTTACACATGATGGATATTTAAGATTAGAAAATTAAGTCCTAATATTGATTGGATACCTTAAATTAATCCATTACCTTGGTATGTTTATTTCTCAAGGGAAATGGAATAGACAGCAGGCAAAAATGCCTATTTAAGGAGGAAAGGACGTCGAGCTGAAATAAAGTTATATTTTTCATTTTATTTTTTCAAATTATCTAATATCCGCAGCAGGAGCGGCCGACCTATTTGTGGTTGTGTTAGAAAATGCAAATGGTGAAATGAGAAGTTATTTCTTTTGTATATCAGCAAAATAATTCATTTATGATAACGTGCATAAAAATATGAGTAAAATATTTTAAGTTGCTTTAAACTTAGTCTTCATTGTTATTAACACCGTTAAGGTAGCTCAGTCGGCAGAGCGCTTGCTCCGTGTTGGGTAGGTCGTGAGTTCGAATCTCGGCTGCGACTGACCTAAGGTGGCAGAGGATAGTTTCGGATTAAGTACCGGTCAAAAATTATAAAAATAGAGGAACTTAAAGTTTAGATGCATATTATATGTGATTTTATTGCTAGAATATTTTATGCGTGCATTTGGAGGGAATTGGTGGCCTTGTTATTTTATTGATATATTACACTTTAGTGTCACTACTACTATTCATAGGATATGGACTAGAAATACGAAAATGAAATAAATCACTCATCCGGGATTTCCTCAGAAAAGCTTGGGTTCATAAGATGAATTGTACCTTGAAAATGAGGTGGTTGAGTCAGTATCCCTTGCTGTTCAGTGGTATGTACAAGTGTTTTTCTGCATTTTGTGTGGTGGCATAGGGCATTAGCACGGGCATGGGAGCTGTTGCGGATCTGGTTATAAAGTAAAAATAGGCTAAATTTTCATGAAATTTTGAGATTGTCCCTGTGCCATCATTTGGGCTCAATGTGTAAGTTGTACATGTTTTATTCTAAAAGCTTCAAATATTTAAAGGGACTAGACCATACTAATGTTACATGTAGAGAGAATTTTAAATTTTCCTCTGCACATTTTACAAGCATCTCAATATTAAGGAAAACATCAGCCAAACGTTTTGATTGCCAAAAAAACTGTCCTCTGCCAACTACGTCCATAAAAAAAATGGGTAGCAACTGTTCCTTCGCCATGCGCTTGGCACTTTCAAGTGAAAGTTGCAGGTCCTTCGGATGAGACCTTAAAAACCGAAGCCCTGTGTCACGCCAAGCGTTTGTACGATAAAGATCCCTCACTGCTCAATGACCCTGAGTGCCGAGTAAAAGTCAAAATTTGAAGCCCTTCACCGGTGACGTCTCTAAATTCTCGAATGGGACGTAAAACAAAATACAATCAATCAATCAATGTTATTATTGTGTTTCAGTTAATTTTTTTTATCTCATCAGATAATTATTAATTTATTATCATATGAAAATAGATACTCCGCAATATGAGTAAGATATGAACACAACCGTTAAGATTTTCCGATTAATAATTGCAGCGGTAAAAGTGATGAGTAGAACTTGAAAAGTTGGGAAAAACTAAAAAAAATAGTAAAAACATTTTTTGAATATGCTACAGCTGCGAATTAGACAATAACATTTTTCTACACTTTGCATTTATTGTGTTATCCACTAACGCCACTTGCAGCATAGTCTGCAGAAATCATCTTCATCATCACGTGACAAAAGATCCAGGTATTAGCACGTGGTTCACTGGAGATCTGAATATAAATAGCCGTACATCTCCATTTTGACGGCAATACATTCTATCAGTGATCACTGATTTTCACATCGATGAATCAATTTGATGAGCAAATGAACTGAAATGTCTATTTTTCTTGAAATTCATGTTTTTTTTCTTTGAAGACTGAAATAAATATGTTCACTTTTAGCTTTCAAAATCTTGCACTTTCATTGAATGTTCACTTGTAAAAATACTTTTTAAATCCTATATTTCTTTGCTGCCGATTTGATCAATTTTACTTGTTAGATAATATCCCTCATACCCTAAAGAAGTTCTATCATTAGATTCCCAATCTTATTTTAAAGTTATTAATTAACAAATTTTGCACTATAAAGTGTTTGTTTGAAGTTCTGATTCTTCATGTTAATAGTTCCATCATTCTAGGAGCAAACAAAAAATGCATTAAAATAGGAAGCTATTCGAAACATAAATTTATTTTAAATTTTACAAAGGAAGTTTTTGTATTAAAGACTGCATACGGATGGGATAAACGAAGTAATTTACAGGACAACTATAACAAAATTAAGCCTGTATGCATGTAGGGAATGTATTGTATCATTCAATGTTTCTTTATAAACAAAGGAACTAAATTTTGATTTTGTTGATCAACAGTAGCAAAATTGAGAGTTGAATGCACACCTCAATATTGTACATCGTTGAACAAGACAGTACACGTACAGTATGTAAAAATAAGCAGGCCTTATCAGTGCTCTTTAAATATATAATACTAGAGAATAGACGTATATATTCTTTATTTCTAAATGTTATACAATTATCTGAAATACTGGGCCCGAGATGAATGAATGACCCCTCCTAAAACGTTTAAACAGTAGTGATGTGGTCAGCGTTATACATAGATCAAATATATGCAAGTCAAAATGATCATGAAGATCTATCATGCATTGTTTACATTTTAAATTTCTATGCTTATTAAAAAAAATCAGTTTATTGAATTGAACTTACAGTTTACTTTGTGAAAGTGCAAGAATGTGTGTCGATCAAACTCTTCCCGAAATTATTAGTTTTAATAAACTCATGGTAGAAGTTTCTAAACACGCTTTCATTATATTTCGACATGAAATGCTCATGCAACATATAAGTCATTATATCATACTGAAAGCTTTGGAAAATATTAACTTCAAATCTGTGTCCAAGCCCCTATAACGACTACAGAGGAAGTATTTACAGATCAAGCACCTGGGTAATTTTAACCAAATGTCACGACGAATTTGTATGTGACGTTGTGTCAAATGGGATGGTTCTGGTATAAATCTAATACTTGTTCATACTCTTAAAAATAACTTCTTCCAACAAAGGCCAGAAGAAGCGGATTGTTATCATTTCTATACAATGCCTTCACTTTTAAAGAGTCGTGGTGTACGTCTTGAATAACACATGTTTACGGCATATTGTTTTAAACAATTACAGACCACTTTCCAGTTATGTCTACATCTCACTATATTAGGGGATAGAACTGTATGTCCTGCATAATATCATTTTATCTCTCTGATAGAGTGGTTTGAGTGACATTCTCACATAAACTAGAACAACACTTAAAGATGAAGAGATAAGAGTAGTATCTTTTGCACTGAAGCAAACAGAGATAAGAGATTTTATACAGAAACAGGACAAATGTCTTGTTCTCAATGCATTTGGATCAGTGACTGAGCGCTGGCTGTCAACCTGATTAATAAACATCAACTTGTGCGTTTGCGTCTTATCATCATAACAGTCCTTTGTAGTGCTTTATATCCATTTGTCCAGCGATACCAATACGGACATTTATAACTAGTCACAGCAGACTGTGCATACTTCCCGTTTAGGTTTGAGTGGGTACAGGCAAAGTACCACCAGGCACCGTGATGTGAATTAGCACAGCTATAACTAACTATATCATTATCCTGGTCTTTCGTGCTGAATCTCATACCATTATGAGGAACCAAACTGTCACCTAGAGCAGGAATTGGAAACAATAACTTAAATACATGTAGAAATAATGAACAGTAAAGGAGTTAATAAACACTATATATATATATATATATATATATATATATATATATATATATATATATATATATATATATATATATATATATATATATATATATATATATATATATCTGTGTGTGTGTGTGTGTGTCCTCCCCAACCCGGGGTTGAACTTTCGACCTACTATATCTGTCTCCTAGCAGTACAGGAACAGCACGCTAGACCGCTTGGCCATCTAGGCAAGTCACTTAAAACTTGTTTTCGATTCCGATGGAATTCTCGCGGCGCTGCATACACTACACGGTCATTGAGAATGAAAGTGAGATACAGTTATTTGGACATTAGTTTTATTATAGTATTGTTACCGATTCACTTTGTAGTGAAATTAATTTTTTTTTGATAAAGGACATATTACAACAACTCTTTAACTAACATAACTGCGCTTAGTGAAAAAAATATTAATATAAAACATGTAGAAAACACAAAGAAATTCACTTTTATAAAGAAACCCTCTTCCATGCTATATAAATAAAAAAGCCAGGATACTGAAAGATAAACTGATGTTTCAACAATAACAACAACCTCGTTTAAAATGAACAAGCATTTTTTCATATCTTTAGATCAAAATCGGACTGACATGTTTAACCAATTGTATTGCCTTTGTTTTTATCCTACACTGTAAACTTGGCTTCTGAAAATTCAGTGTACCTGATCAATACATAGGGTTCACGGTGGCTCTGACTGGTTACCAAGGGATGTTTACTCCTCCTAGGTATCTAATTCCAAATCTATAATTTTCAGGCTTCCGTGTTTTATGCCCTATTCACAGATTTGCTCAATTTTGTTTGAAGGTTTTTTACGATCGTTTTGTTGTTATCTTAATACTTTGCATATTTAATATTTAATTTCATTGAAGAAATGGATACTGCCTTTGAGGATTTTGTAAGCACATTTGTCACGACTAAATTAACTTGTTTCATATTAGAAAAAAATATTCTTATTTAAAGCAAGATAAATATAATACGAATTCTAGTCTATATCTATCACAAATGAGTAAATCAAACAAAATAATAATAAAGTTTGAAATTCAGTACTTAACAAAATACAAAATTTGATATTTCTTTTATTTACATTATCTAAGCTGAGCAAATGAAATTAAGATTTGTGTTTCAAACTTTACTCTGGAAGCAAATCCATTATTCATATACGTATAATCATGTCTACTCTTATAAAATCGATACACATTAACGTAAGTGATGTTCCATAGATGGATTTATAGGACGATTAATTACTAATCATAGGAATGTTTTTTATGATTATTGTTGTAATTGGCTGAAATGTCTTGATGTTTGTTATAATATAACAATAATAATTTTTTAAAAAAATTTCAGCAATTTCCACATATAATATTGTACTGCTGGAGGTTAACCTTAGAATCTGTGAATAAAAATGCAACAGAGCTGCAAAATACGTTATTACAATGATATAACAAACCTGCTGTTCCGTTGTACCCGGATACTGTGAGTCGGTATTTATCAGCCTCGTTTCCGATATAAAACGTGGAATATTCAGCATACGCTGTGTCCCCGTTAAATCTCTTGAGATCTACTCGCAGTTCCTGGTCCTGATCTTTGGTTAAAGCATGGATTGCATCATTCCCTATAATATAATTGTATAAAAATAGATGAAAGAACTGTTGATTTAGATCTGATTTCTTTTCTTTTTCATCAAGGATAAAGACTAATTCTTAAAATACACATTGTGGAGAAAAGGACATTGACAGAATGTTATAAGTCATTATCGAAAGGAGAAGTGGATTAAGAAGATTAAGAAGTGTCGAATTAAATGTCCTTTAAATTGAAAGTAAACAATTACTGTAAATATATATATATATATATATATATATATATATATATATATATATATATATATATATATATATATATATATATATATATATATATATATATATATATATATATATTCATTTCTTTAAAGTACATTGATATCATTAATTCAAAAAAGTATAGCTTCTTTAATATTCCGAATTTTGAGCTTCCTTCGTTGCAAACACTCTGCGTATTACACATATTCATAATTTTTTCATATCATATTTTAAACAAAATGTTGCTTTGAAAACCAATATTGAGGTCTTATAATCCAAATTACTTAAAAGTTTGATGATATATGAATGCGTTATAATTTTATGCTAGGTGGATTTCAGTGATAATGAATTAGAATTATTTAAATACAAATATATTCACAAAAAGAAAATACACAGACCTACCTATCCAGTAATTTTTAGAGGCATTCCCAAATCCATGTTTGTACTCGTTCCATGTCCTGTAAAAATCAACGTCATCATCTTCTCTTTTCTGAATGACCTGTTAACAGAAATCCATTGTTTAATACCAGTTAATTATCATAAATATGTGAAAATATATTTTACATGATTGCTTTCTCCAAGATTAATTATCTAAATGTTTGATATTCATACGATATCAATCACTCCGTTTAATTATAGATAAACCTATTTATATACCTTATATGTAAAATAATTGATTTACAGGGGAAATGTGGGATAAGATTTAGTTTTATTTTTGAAAATATGAAATCTACAGGCAGTACAAACCCTTGAATAGGACAAAATATTTAATTGACAATTTAATTGACAATTGACAAAGGAATTCGTCTAAGATCCCCCAAAATTTTTCTGTTATTTTCCTGTAAAATTTCATTTTTTTTCAAAAGATGAAGACCGTAAAAAAGTCTTCTCTGAATTAGCTCTTGTGTCCTACAAATGCAATAAATTGGTCATCTGTAAAATTAATTGACTAAAACATTCTAATTTACATAGAAGTACTCCGAAGAACATCAAGTCTTCCAACAATCTGTTGAAATTCTCATGAATACTAACTGCGTTTCGTTGTAAGCCTATTTTAGTATTCATATGAAGCAGAATGTTTTCAAAAACTTATAATGAGAAAGAAGTCTCATGCCGTGGCCTTTAATTCGGCAATTACAGATATCGACGACGTTTTATCAAAAATAATAATATTCATATTCATTCGTACCTTGATTGGATATATCCTTTTGAAGTTGAAAAAAAGAACCACAGTGTCTGACACATCTGTTTCATTTTTGGATATTTCAATAGAGAAAGATATTGTATACTATCAACAAAACCTTATGACAAACGTGGTGTCTTTACATTTTCTATCGTCATATTCCTTTAGTTATGAAGCAATATATCATTATCTCCTGCATATTGAGTTGAAGTCTTCCAGTTGATTTGATATGCACGGTCACGTTTTGTGAAGCGAGACAAGCTATTGGCAAATAAGTTGATGATACAAGGATATCAACAGTCTCGTTTAAATTCAACATTTCGAAAATTGGTAGCTCGTTTAGTGTCTAGTTATGTTGAATGTTGGCTGAGTTTTTTTTTTTTGTACAAATATAAAGGCCATTATTTTCACACTAAATTGTCTACGGATTTGTCCGTTTTCTCATGACAAAGAGCAAACAGCTGCTTGACCCGTTCTGGGGATGCTCACTCTTTCATGGCACCTGATCCCACCTCTGGTTGTTTTTAGAGGACCGTGTTTGCTCTGCCCCAAATCTGTATTGTTCCACTAGAGTCTGGAGCTTGATTTCTGTTCGTTTCCTCCATATTTCATTGTTAAATACCAGAGCTTATTTAATCTCAATAAACTCCAAATTTACTGCTAAACACCCTGCATAAAATGTGTTAATGATTAATGAAATGTTTATGTATTAAGCAATTTCCATTAACAGTTAGCCCGCATCTAGTCAGCGAGGCATGAATAATCACTGGCCGATACCCTTATTGGGAAGAATGTGAAAGCAAGGATCAAGAATTGTCACCTACATGTTAAAACGTTTGTATTTATCAAAGGGACTCTAGCAATTAGCTTTGTTACCAGCTACGGTATGTGGTTTTCGATTACGTTGTAAGCAATAATAAAATATATCGAGGATTGATATGACTACATCACTTTTGAAACTACTTTACATCTGGATAAAAACTCCGGGAAATGACTTTAATCATAAAGTTTTGTTGAGTTTTAAAGGATAGTTTTATAATGTATGTTAAATATATAAAGGTTATATAATTTTGTTTTTATAATTAAATTTCACAATTCCTCAGTAAATAACTTCCTTATTGGAGGGCACCCAATCAAGTACATGGCATTGGATAAAAAAATTGAAAACACTATCACCGTCCACTTTCCTCCATCCGTAGTCATGTCACAGAATACTTCTCTTCAGATGTTGTCGATGTATAACATTGACAATGAAACACAATACTCACCGTCCATCCCCCTCCATCTGTCGTCATGTCACAGTAGACATCTCTACGGGTGTTAGGGTATATAATATACACACCATTTTGTCCTTTCTTACTGGCGTCTTTTTTTAAGATCTCTAAGCAATCCCTGTATCTTTTTTCTAGTTTATAGATGAAATTTGAAGTTAACAAACAATAACTATACTCAATGTCCAATCCAACAATACAAATTCAAAATTCTGAACAATGCACAATTTTAGTAATAAGAAAATCTCCTCAAGTTGCTACACGTGTCTGTGCATCACATGTTTTCAAAAATACATTCAATCTCTTGTGCACAGAATTGCTAGACCCTTCTGTTTCGCATAACAAAAACATTTTTGCTGATAATTTTTCTCAAATGATTTGAGAATTCTAAATTAGCAAAAAATATATGGGATCTGTTGTTTTTAAATGCCAAAATGTACATTTTACAAACAATCATGAAGAAATTGTTCCCTCGTATACATGCAGAGCTGACAAGAAATATATCAAAAGATGCCATTCTTCTAAGAACTACTGTTGATTCTTTGTATTATTTATCACATTTTTTTTTCTTTTTGGCAGGCTACATATAAAATATAGATAAACAACAGTGATCATTCTCAAAAGTTCAATTAAACAATAAAAATTATAAGCAGAACAATCTGAAAAATGGAGAAGGGGTCAAGATCCAAGGACGAGCATTAAGCATTCCCTGTCGATCTTCCTATCATGGTAAGATAAACAAAAGATAAATTAGATGTGAAAATAAACGCCTAACAATTTGTATTAAAGATGTCAGTCAACATTCGATTTGATTAATGATTTTATTTGCAAACAATGTCATTGTAACAACCATAGAATCTGCGGAATTGACTTTAAACGAGATCGTAGGTACCCTTTTATTATCAACTTTTTTATTTTTTTTTTACAAATTACCTGCATCTATTAAGAAACTGTTTATATATGGTATATTGCTACATAAATAAGGAAAGTTGACGTTCGAAAAAACTGAAGTCATCAAGTTTATCAAAGAGTTAAGTTGTCAGTTTGCCCGCAATGTCTTTCAATAGTAAAATATTCAAAAATGAAAGAGATGTTTTAGACTCAAGTAGCGTCTTTTATTCGAATTCAATGGCATATAATATTTTAATAATTTATAAATATAATGCGTTGTATCTATTTTGATAAACATTAATCTCTGTAATAAATGCGTTTTTAGTTATAGGTCTATTATGGAAGGAAATTTGTTACGAAATAAAAGAAATTTCCGATATATTATTTCTATTTACCCATATTATGATTTCATAGATACCACAATAGAACAAAGTAGATAATATCGAGCAAAAGCATAAATCTTTTGTGCATATTAATTTATTGATTTGCGATGATTCACACAAAACCTATAAATACAGAAGCAGAAAATACATCTAATCTTTGTATGTATTTTTTTTACGCCTTCCATTACTTTATCTATTGTAATAAACATGCTTGCTCAAATATGCAGTTCATTGTAACAATAAGCCTCCAGATCAAAAAGTGTTTTGAGGACATATAAAAAAGTTTTTTGAAGATATTTTATCCTCCTATTCAAAAAAAAAAAAATAACCAAAAGAAAAGAGATTTATTTATCAAAAATGTTAAAATGTTATCAAATAAATAAGTTATGCTTCCAGAAAACGTAAAAAGGAAATTAAGCCTAAGAATATGACTCTTATGTTACCTTTAAAGACAGGTACACATTTACCACCTATACAGACTTCATCTTCAGAACAGGAATGGTTCAGACAATTGCCCGCCAAGTGCTGAAATTAAATAAACTCAAATTTGTGATTCCCTTAATATGTTATCAAATATGTTACAAGAATTCTCTCAAAACATCCGCTACCTTTCTTACCTTCGGAAACTTATCCCGCTCGACATGAATGGTGGGGCTTTCTGTCATTAAAAGACTGACATTCTTGATGGCAAACCTTGTGTTAAGCCGACATGTCTTATTATCTAGAATCCAATCCACTGAACTACACAAACTAAACCTGTAACAAACCGTCATGCACATTGCAATGTCAGCATTGGTCAAAAGCTTAAAACCAGGCACAGAGGAATTTTCATAATTGCTAATGAGCAAACTTTTTGGATTGAATGGAGCAAAGCACTGAGAATAACATGTCTGTAACAATGCCAGAACTTGTCCAATGAGGTACAGACAATGAGTGGCTGATTCCATTTCAGGAGTTTTCTTAAACAATGTAGCAATATTTTTTGTTTGTGGGCTCTAACCAAGACAGTCATGAATGTTAGATTTCCACATTTCCATAATGTATATATATACCTATGGTTAAAATTTGTCTATTAATAATTAATGAAGTCTAATGTGAGAGTTTCATGTGTAGTTATATTGTTCAATGATAATAAAATAGCATACCTGGATTTTTATATCTATAATGGCTTGGTGAATTCAGAACAATGAATAAGTATCAAAAATAGTATTAAATATTTTAAATAAATAAATAAATTTTATTTTCACCCTTCTAGGTACTGTAGAAAAAGTGGAAAAGAGAGATCTATACTAATAAAGAAATAATCAACACGATTCCTCCCCAAGACACTAGCATTAATATAAGCTTATTGCCTCGCCATCCGTATAATACAAAAAAAGTGACAATATGTCTTTTAACACGAATAGTTAAAATTAACAAGTAATTTACAAATAGTTAATTTAAATATGACATTTTTCTGAAAGTAATTTAAAATTGTCAATTGCATTTTCATTATTAGGTATCAGCATGGAATGAATCATTTTTAATTTTAGATTGTGTAGGTTTATAATCATTATACGATCATGCACAGCTCTCTTTTCTTAACGTGTCGCTGTGGTTAATGAAATATTTCACATTCTTCCTGAATTGTTTTGATATAAGTCTCTTAATTCAAAATAAACATAACGGAAAAGTTCTAAAATGATATATGAAAGTAGAAGTTTATAAAAAATTTTGCGTCATAAGAATACAAATATATGTTTGCGAATAAATTTGATTGTTTGTTTTTGTAAACCACTTAACAGTGTAAACAGAATAAAATTAAAAACATGGCATCGTTTTAACGGCTATATTATTTTTCAATACTTTCTGGGTTTTTTAATATAAGTAATGTTGGTATGGCATATTAACCGTAGAAAATGATTATACTGCCTTTTACTGTTCTGAAGAAGATATTTGAAAGAGTTTTGGTATCGGCATGTATTTTGTAAAAATTGATCTCCTATTGCACCCTTCCTCTAATCTTACAGCCCATTATCTGAATAACCTTAATCAATCCCATGTAGGAATATGCCATTTATTACGAATTTTTAATTAAAGAAATTACATGAATTTCATTTATTTCTCATCTTTCTGAATTTCTACACTAGCTCTGCCTGTTTATTGGTTTATTGATTATAAGCTGAGTAGGAAGAGATTATAAAATGAGGGGATTGTATAGAATGGAGGACTATGTGAGTCGGAATGAATCTTTTTACACTTAATCAACCTACCACTTAATGCATCTTTACGCACCTATATGCATGGTATTGGCATGGTATTGGCGATTATTAACCATACATATCGTCAAGGAATTAGTCAAGGTTGACTATCAATAGAATTAGGAATTGGTGAGTTTGGGGATCACTCATGAGCTAACGATTTTCTAAATTGAGTAAACCTTTTAATTATCGCATCAAGTTGTGTTTGACATGTTTTACAAAAGTAAGTAAGGGAATGTAAAAAGAATTGATTTTTCACTCTCAAAAAAAGAAATTCTTTACCCTAGCAGGTCAAAAGTCGTGAAGTCTACATTTCGTTAAATGCTCATTGGCAGATCACGTGCACCAGTTTGGTCTGGTCTGATTACTGCCCGGGGATGGAAATGATTTTGAATGCATTTTCATTCCAGGTATATGATGAATAGAGAACATGAGTTCAAAGACTCATGATCCTATTACTTGATTGAACAATGATGGATATATTGTATGTAGTAAAGTTTTTATACGGTTGTTCCAGAATCTTCAAGCAGTCTCATTGATTTATAAAATATGATACAGTGGGTTAAATCTGAACAATTGCTTGAAGCAGTCTTAACCAATATTAAGTATATACTATAACTAGCTTTTTCATTGAGAGGTCGATTTTATATCATTTGAAATTATTTGTTTCAAATGTAAAGGTGCCACTCTTTTGAGTCTATAAGTGACACAGACTCAAAGAGTTCATTCGATGCCCCTCGGATAATCCTCAGGGATATTAAATATAGGTCCTATGTGCAGTCTTCAGATTCCCAGTTTTGGTATAAAACCAATAGTTCATACAAAAAAATTGAAAGAATGTAAGTTTCTTTTAGAGATGTATTTGATGATTCCTTTTCCGATCACGTTTTCTATTTCAAAAAGATCTGCGAAAAACTAAAACCTGCGACATTTTGATAACTAAAACTTCTTTTACTAGTAATCTTACTGGACATAGCCTCTTTACCAAAACTTGGGAAAATCTGAACTGCAAATCTTCTAATGTTGCCTACGGAATAGAATGTAATTTTTGTGGACTTATTTTTGTTGGTGAAGCCAAGGATTCACTTATTAAAAGAATACCAGGACATTGATTTCAAATTAACAATGGGGACCAGCAACTTCTATACAAGCATTTTAATTTACCTGATCATTCTATTTTTTCAATGAAAGTAAGAATCCTATTAACAAGATTCATTGCAAAAACTATAACTACTTGTCAGTACTATGGAAAAATCATTGACAAATAAATCTCTCTTACCTAGATAATTTGGAAAATATTTGCTGTTGGTTACAAGTTAATCATCATCAGGGTATGAGTGCTGTATTTTTGTAAAATACGTAATGCGTAAAAGAATTATACATTTACAGATTTTTGCATAGTTTCTTCTGTTGTCTGTTCATTATCGCTATAGATTTTCTTAGTTTCAGTTTTAATAAACTACTTTTGTCATTGAGGCTTTAACCCTTCATATTGCTAGATGGTACGGTTGAATGTAGGTCT